CAATTTGGTTATAAGTTGATTTAAAAAAGAAAAAAAATCTATCCATTCTTTCCAGTCAAGCTGTATAATTTCATCACTAGATGAATTCCATCTTTTAAGCGTTTTCTTTCGATTTGCGGCCATACTGGAGTTCCCATACGATAACTAATCGTTTCGTTAAGAGAAACGAACTCATTTTCCAGTGGAGGGAATTTTCTTTGTTTGGGAACACCAACATGGCTGCCTTGATCACTGCGTAAAAAGCTGAATATTCGGTCGAATTCGATCGGCGCACTTCGCGTATAGCAAATTGTTTTTGAGGTATTCAAGAACGCCGGACTCAAAATACACCTGCAACATCCTTTTAGAATCCTGCCTGTTTTTCCGAATTCCACTTGAATACGTTACTGTTACGTACTTAAATAGTCCTGAATACGCCAGTCGTACATCACTATTGCGTGCGCCTAGGCTAGATACTCTAAGGTTCTAGAGTTCGCATTTGACTTGAATACTTGCTGTGTCCATGCTTGAATACTCTTACATACCCCAGACGTACATCACATGTGACGTGTGCCTGAATACTCGAGGATTCTATGGTATCAAGATTTCATATTCGGGACTAGAATGCAGGAAATAGCTTTTTGGCGCAGTGTACGTCGCGCGAAAAAGGTGATGGCTTTGGCCAATGATGGCTTTGGCAGACATTTACATCAAGTTACCCTATGCATTCTATGGACTTAATGAAACAGCGGCTCACTTATAATCGTAGAACTAACAAATGAACCACAAAATGAATTGATGAACCTGAAAGGGTCTCACGTGAGTACTTCTGAGACAAGAAGCCGGTTGACCTGATTTTCTTGTTGTTTTACTTGCACTTGGTTTCGAGAGGTAAATGAAATGAAATGTGATGATGTGAAAAGCGCATATTCCGTCTCCTTTGAAACTGCTATGTTTAGAAGTATCAGTTTCGATTCTGTCACCAATATTTCAGTGGTATCTAAAACACAAAAATTACTTTAAAGCCTCTGGCGAAACACGTATGCAAAGAAATTCACGCATGAAAAACTATTTGACAAAGAATTAGTAGTAGTAATCTTTCATACGTACCTTTAGTCAATGATCTATACACTTCCCATAGAATTCGCCAGTTTCTCACAATTAAAAGTACGATACTGGACGTTATGGTACCTCGGGATGATCGTGGAAAGTAAACAACAAAAAAGCAAACAAACAGTAGTTCAATGGCCTCTCACTTCACTGTGTCTCGTATTTCATTACCTGCTTGACCAACTAAGTCACCTGGTCGCGTGTTGAATTTTTCATCACAGTCTTACAAATGCACCACTTAAACGCAATGGGGCTTATGATTAGTATCTGGATTAGTCTCTGCTAATTTTCTTACGTTCTCACATCGTAAAGCTATCTCTTAATTTTACTTGCAGCATTTTTTTAAACGAAATTTATGACCATATCTTGTTACTATTATATTTTTACATGATGCCTTCTTGACCTTCTTCCTAACTGGTAATGAAAACTTAGAGCGGTTTTCAATTGAGCGTCGTAAAACCAAATCAAGCCAAATACTTACCTTTTAGCACCAATTACTTGCCAATCTCAAACCAAAGTAAAACCAAAACCAAAACCAAAACCAAAGTAATTGCCTGATTACTTTCGACACTCAATTGAAAACCGTTCCATTTTCTTAGTTTAATTAGATAACTACTTAGGTTGTGTCTTGGCTGAAACGATCTTTTTCAACACTTACATTTCAGACAATTCAAGTAGACTGAAAATATGATGGTCTACGACTGGATCAGGCCTCGACCACCAAAAGGCGTTTTAAAAGTCAAATCAAAAAGATTTTATTGGGGTCGAATTTCTATACGCGTGTATAAACCTGCAACGTACCAGGATTAATAAACCGTATTCTAGCTGCCTGGAACTGATAGGGTTGAGGAGCCCGGGAGAGAAGGGGTAGGGGGTGGGGGTTATAGTGTACAACGTAAAACGTATTCGCCGTATTTAACCAGTACGAAAATGGCTTGTGACCTTTCTTGATATCGATAGCAACATTTTTTGGTGTTTCAAACTTATGCTGATTTGAACTTGCCGTTTTCATGGTAATCATGGTAATCATAATTATAATCATACATTGACATGCTTTTCTTTTCTGCTTCAACTTTTGGTTTAATAATGATTTTAGATATGATTTTATGCAGTAAATATATTTTATTTTCATATATATTTTTGGATTTTATAGAATGAATCTTAATCGACCTAACCATCTCATTTTGCAGAGATATGATGTCAACCAAATCAGATAGTGGAGACAGCGTGACCGATGGCGCCGCACTTGAAATCTGGAGGAGTTCGCGGGCTCCTGTCCCGTTCTGACCACTAAGCTGGAGTTGTTTCTCGGTAGACGTTAGTTCATCTCCTCGGTCATGCTTGTAAATAGACAACTGGTCTGCCTCCCACCAGCTGGTATTTTAAAACCCATTCAATGTTAAGTTGATATATTTGTTTCTTTCAGTTTAAGTGGCATGCCTATGAACTAGCTAGGTATAGCTAAGCGCTTTGGCCACTGTAAACAACAACATTTGAACCAAGCTAAGAAACCATGAGACGTACTTTGGAGGTACAGACGAAGATAACCTTCTGTCCTCTTTCAGTCCCACAAAGGATAGTAAAGCCGGTCCTAAAGAGGGTTACTGATAAGTTTCTGGAACGATAAATTGCACCCGTCATTGAAAGTCTCAAAGTCTGACCCTCTCGTACTCACTGGAAGCTAAGGGAAGCTAAATTCTCTAAATAATCTGATGTTTATAAATATGTACATGTGATCGCGAGAATAGAGACTAAGACTTGGCTCGGTAATATCTTGCGGGTCAAAACAACAAAAGATCTTAAAGGCTTGGCGTATTCCTAGAATTAACTTTCTATAAAATTAGCCTCTCTTAAGATGACGATCACGAAAACAGATGAACCGGACTTCCTTTTGGCGCTTCATATCTGCGTTCTAACGGTATCCAGCCATCTAGGAAAACATTTATCTACACCATTTGCAGCTGTATTTGCAGTATTTTTTCATGATATGTCGGCTTGTTGGTTCTCTGCAGTACCCTTCTCTGGCCAAATCATGGCAATCTGCTACGCGGTCCAAACACATTCTACCTGCAAAAAATACAAGTTATATTGCATGAATCAAGGTTGCTATGCCTTGAGTAACAGCCAGGTCTGGAAGCTCCTCTATACCTGTTAAAATAAATATGAGTTATTGACCAAGGGTGAGGTCAAGATGGCTGAATAATGGCCAAAATCGTGTTTTACGTGTTTATGGACCAACGCGGATTTAAGGTCCTGAAACTCGCCAAAAAAAAAA